TGCTGGCCTCCTGACGGATGGCAGCACCAGGCTGTGGCACAGCTGGAGAGCCCGAGAACTCTGGTCAGGCCCCCGCAGGCCCCCAGCAGTCCGCAGACCTATGAGGTGGAGCTGGAGATGCAGGCCTCTGGCCTGCCCAAGCTTCGGATTAAGAAGGTAGACTCCAGTGCACTGGCTGAAACCGAGACTCTGGGAGAGGATGGCTCTCTCCCTGGTCTCAGCATGCCCAGGGTCAGCAGGGCCACCAGCAAGCCTGAGGCTACCTACATGTCACCCCCTTGCCTCCGCCCCTCACATAGCACGCCTGGCAAGGGGCAGACCTACATCTGCCAGTCTTGTACCCCAACCCACGGCCCATCCACCACCCCCTCTCCATTTCAGACAGATGTTGGGATTCCCTGGACACCATCCCCTAAGCACAGTGGGAAGACCACTCCTGACACCATTAAAGACTGGCCCCGGAGGAAGAGGGCTGTGGACTGTAGCAACGGGGTGTTATTGGGGCGAGGCGAAGCTGGCACAGACCCTGAGCCCCAGGCCAAGGAGCAAGGCCTTGAACTCAGCCTCCACAAGACTGCCGTCCCGGAGGACTTCGAGCTTGAGGGGGTGTGTCAGCTCCCAGACCAGTCTCCTCCTGCAGACAGTGTGCCCAAGGCCGAGGAATCCTTCTTATGGGGACAGTTTGGGTTGGGTTCCAGAAAGAGACCTTTGTCTGCTAAGGAAGAAGCTGAGTGTGGAGCCAAAAGAGTCTATGAAGCCCCAAGGGAAGGTGCAGACATGAACCAGGAAAAAGGGTGTCCAAGGTCGACCGTGCTGCAGCTGCCCTCCACAGGGGACGACGAGGTGTTTGCTTTTGGTAAGTTCATGTTTGAAATGCACGCCCTGTGGTTTCATTTGTCAGTGTCTGTGTGGAGGCATTTGGAGCTTGGGGGCCTGGCACTCAACCTGCTGGGGACCCACAGGGTACACTGACCGCCTGCCTCTCTCTAGGCTGCACCCCGCCTCACGGCTGTGCTGTGCGGAGCTGCCTCTCGGCCAGCGGGCTGCAGGCTCTCACCCAGTCTCCACTGCTGCTCCCCAGGAAGGCAGCATCCTCACAGTGCTCGGACCCCACAGGTAAGCACTGGAGTGCTCTGTGAAGATCTCTAGAGCAAGGCACCTCACCTTTGGGGGAGCCGTGGGGACACCAGGGATGGGATAGATGGTTTGTGACTAGTGTCAGTCCCTTCCCAAACCTGCGTGCACCCAAAAGAAACCCCCCTGCAGTCCTCCCACAGCACTTGAGTCTTCTTGGGTTGTGACAGGAGATGGCCTGTTGGGACACACTGCTCATCTGTAGTCCTAGAATCTGAACAGGGAAGCCTGACAGGCGCACTCAGAGCCAGCCACACCTGCCAGCGGGTTTACGCCCGTGCTCCCATATACTCAGTGTGTTAAAGCACTGACGGTCAGAATCAGTCTACTGGAGAAGGCCCCTTCCTCGGGTCAATCTTGAGATAGGGATGTAGGTCATGCCAAATAGCGTAAAGCCCTCAGATCCAAGATGGCAGGTACTTGCATTTCTACAGGGGCTTCTTGCTGTCAGCCCCTTGCATAACCATGAAAGGGGGCCTTGTAACAAGCAGAGTCTGTGTTTCTGCAGGATAGAAAGCTCCCCGCTGCAGTGTGGTGGTCCTCAGCCCATCTTCGTGTGCGAGCTTCTGCAGCTCAAGCCAGTTTTCCTTTTGTTCGGTCCTCAGTTGCTTCTCTGCCTTTTTCCAGATGAGAATGCGGATGCCTTTGCCATCACTGCAGAAGCATCCCCTCTCAGCCAAGCCTTCTCCCGGAGGCGCCCCTTCAGCAGGACTTACACCCGGAAGAAGCTCATTAGCTAATTAGGCTGGCACCTGCTAGAGGACTGACAATGACCAGCACTACTGGGCCTGGGCAGAGGTGCCTGCTGTGAGGGTGGCAGCTGTTCCCCACTTGTACCAACCTGGGTTCCCAGCAGGGGGCCCAGTACAGGGGAAACTGGGGCTAAAGGGCCCTGGGACTCCAGAAAGTGAAGCTGAAGTCAGCCAGGTCCCCATGGGCTTAAAGGAATTGGAGATCTGATCCCAAGCCCCTTTTACCGTGGTCAGTCTGCAGTTTCTTGCTAGAATGCCTCTCGGTCTTCCAGTTCCTCTGAGACGCGCCCACTGCCCAGCTGCACCTTGCTGTGCAACCCACCCAGGCCCTGCCCTGCCTGGCTGGGGAGGTCAGGTGGGTATCAGTGTAGCTGCTGCTGGCAAACCAGGCAAGGATCTCTAGTAAGACAGGGTCCCATTTCTGCAACACCCCAAACACAAGTCAGGAGGCCACTGCCTTACTTGTGAAAATGGAGACAGGAGCCCTCACGGGATCCCTCAAGAAGCTGCTGTAAGGCTAGAAGGCTTTGACACAAGGAGTAATTTGTAAACTGTGAAGCCTGTGCACAAAAGTGCTGTGGCAGGCAGTGGAATAAATGTTTGTATTTCCTTGTGTGACAGTGAAATTGTTTCTGGCTGCTTGGCCTTCAGTACTTTTCTGTTTGATGTTCCCACCTAAGGTTACCTGTGACTGGTCCAGCCCTAGCAGTTGCAGAGCAACCGCATGCCGAGGTCTGTCCTGAGAGCCAGCTCATGCCACAGGCTGTGCTGTTTCTGGGGTGACTCAACTAGCACCACCAGGTGGCTTTCCCCTTGGTGACCCCATGGAGCAGTCAGATCTTCTCATGGTCTCTAAAAGAGCTCAAGCCTGTTGTCCCAGACAGGGTTCTTCCTACTGGCTTACAATCCAATTCCAAGTGGAAACTCCCATCTCCCTGCAGAGTGTGTGCGTTCCCCGCTGCTGTGACAGATACCTGAGATTACTTATGAGGGCAAAAGGCATGACTTGTGCTCCCAGTTTTGGAGGCTTCAGCCCATGGTCAGTGGCTGCAGTGTTTTGGGGTCTGTGCTGAGGCTCTCCCATGATGGGGATCCACTGGTAGAGTGGAAGTGAGCACCTCATGGCACCCAGGGGGCACCAGGATCGCAATGTCCCTTACAGGGCACATCCCCAGTGACCTAACGTTTCCATAGACCACAGCACCTTCCCACAGAACTGGGGACCAAACCTGAACACATGAGCATCTGAGCAGCCATTCACAGTCTGCGCCTGGCTCATGTCCGTCTCAAAATGTAAAACCATTTAGTCTATCTGCAGCACTACTCAAGAGTCCAAGTCCCAAGTCTTCCCTTCGACTAAAGGCAAACTCAACTGTGCTGCAGGCCCCTGTAAGGATTAACGGTTTAGGCCAGGTGTGGTGGTACACACCTGTAATCCTAGCACTTGCAAGGCTGAGGCAGGAGGATTTCTTCAAATTTGAGGACCCCCCCCCCTCAGTGCTGGGAACACAGACCACCTTCCTACTTGGTTTCTTTTCTTTTCTTTCTTTTCCTTT